TTCCTTCTTCCTTCCTTCTCTTTCCTTTCTTCCTTCTCCTTCTCCTTTCTTCCTTCTCCTTCTCCTTCCTTCCTTCCTTGTCTTTCCTTCCTTGTCTTTCCTTTCTTCCTTCTTCCTTCCTTCTCCTTCCTTCCTTCCTTTTCCGGAGATTGGACAACCATTTGTCTGAAAAGGGTATTGGGTTTCCTACTTGAGTAAGGGGTTGGACTAGAAGACCTCCAAGGTCCCTTCCAACTCGGTTATTCGGTATTTTGTAAGGAAAGCCTGACCACCATTGGTTGAAAAACTGAAAACGATTGGGTACTCCGTCAAAGATGCTTTCTCTTTTGGGTGAGAGTGAATTATTCCCAAGTTTGTCACGTGCTACCTCCGGTCACACCGAGAAGGGATGTAAGTTCTCTGCTCTTGTGATCCCAGGACATCATGAACTGGTTGTAGCTCTGTTTGAGCGCAAAGTCGGAGTATCCTTTTCCGTGATTGGTCTCAGGTTTCTGTTCCCCGGACTCCTTTGGGGGGTCCCTAGGCCTCTGAGACAGAAGTGGCCCGACCCTTTAATTCAGCCGCGGGAAACTGTGGCCAGTTTACGACCTGTGGACTTCAACTCTCAGAAATGAGGACGGTTGGCGTTTATCTGAAACCTCCGTTCCCTTCCGCAGGCTTCTTTCCAACGCTCCAACAGTCACGACAAAGTCAGGAAAATTGTAGCCGAGGAGGGTCGCACCGCAAGAAACCTGATTGCTTGGAGCGTGCCGCTGGAGAACAAGGAAGAGGAAGGTACGTGCTTGACCTTGTACCAGATCAGCGTTTTTCCAACTTGGCAGCCATGGCTGACCAGGGAATTCTGGGAGTTTGAAGTCCACCCATCTTAAAAGTGCCAAGTTTGAAAAAAGGCTCAGTGGTGTTATTGAGCCTCAGTGGCACAGTGGTTAGAGTGCAGTACTGCAAGCTACTTCTGCTGACTGCCGGCTGCCTGCAATTTGGCAGATCGAATCTCACCAGGCTCAGGGTTGACTTGGCCTTCCGTCCTTCCAAGGTCGGTAAAATGAGGACCCAAATTGTTGGGGGGCAAGAGGCTGACTATAAACCACTTAGAGAGGGCTATGAAGCCCTGTAAAGCGGTATATAAGTCTAAGTGCTATTGCTATCTTCCTTCCTTCCTTCTTTCCATCCATCCATCCTTCTGAGGTGGGTAAAATGAGGACCCAAATTGTTGGAGGACAATAGGCTGTCTATAAACCACTTAGAGAGGGCTATGAAGCACTGTAAAGCGGTATATAAGTGCTATTCCTTCCTTCCTTCCTTCCTTCCTTCCTTCCTTCCTTCCTTCCAGCCATCCAGCCATCCATCCTTCTGAGGTGGGTAAAATGAGGACCCAAATTGTTGGGGATGCAAGAGGCTGACTCTGTAAACCGCTTAGGGCTGTAAAGCACCATAAAGCGGTATATAAGTCTAAGTGCTCTTGCTATTGTTTTGGTTTGGTGCAGGGTAATCTGGAGTTCTAAGCTGTGATTAATGGCTTCTGTGTCATGTATGTCAGGCCATCGTGGCCTGTTCCACAAGTCACAGTTAAAAGAAAAGAGAGCACAACGCTTGGAAACAGCCTGTCAGAGATAAGGGCACTAATCTCCACTCCCGAGTCCTGAAAGAAATCAAATTCTTTCTCTACTAACAGAAGTTCGTCTTTTTACAGGAAAACCGAAGTGGCAGGTAGGGGCCAAATCGAAGAGGATAAACCAAGGAACACACAAAATTAGCAAACAGGTACGTGCTGTTTTATTTTGTTTAACGCTCAAGCATCTGAAGCAACGCTAATTTCTGGAAAGCTGCAAACGGTCAAATAAATCCATCTAGCCACATTTCACTTCTTTTAATCCAACCACTAACGTGTTAACATTGCCCTTGCAGATAACGGGTGTGCGTGTGGGGGGGGGGGGGGGTGGATTTTAAATAATCAGCCAAAAAAGAAAGAAAGGGGGGTGAGGAATCCTTCAAAAGTACATCTACATGTGCTGAGCGTAGTTTTACACTCTCTGGGGAAGAGGGAGCCAGTAATACTAGCATTTTGAATTACCCCGGGAGTGAAAACGGCCTGTGCAACACCAACGCCCAACTGTTCAGCGTCAATAATTGGACCGTATTAATTACAAAACAAAAGCGCCCCGCAGTAAAATGTGCACCAAATACCCTTAATGGGAACTGAACACCCATCCTCCTGAGACCAGCTGGTCTTGTAACAGCAGGCCTGGCCAGCTGACAGGAGATTAATTTCCATAAGACCATGCAGGGAGCCAGCACTTATTTAATCATCTTAAATAAGTTTTTTAAATGATCCATTTGAAAGCCATTTGGCAAAACAAAACCTCTCTCCGCTCAAGCAAAAATAAACCCCGGTGTGCTTAAACATAGAACTGGAATCTCGCATTGTGACGCTTTGATTGTGGCCTATGGATTAATTCAGGGGCGTCCAACCTTGGCAACTTTTAAGACTTGTGGACTTCAACTCCCAGAATTCCTTCAGCTGGGGAATTCTGGGACTTCAAATCCACAAGTTGCCCACGCTGAATTAAGTCAAGGAAGCTGGATTCATATGTTGTGCTAAACCATGATGGGGTTTGTTTAATAGGATTAGGGTTAGTCTCTGCTTGCTGTGATAACAGAGCTCTGAAGCTGATCCTTTTTTCACAAAACTCCACCCGAGGTGATTTCGTTTGGTGGAAATCAGCGTTTCTCAAACGGGGCCACTTCAGGTCGTGTGGACTTCAACTCTCACGCTCGGGGAATTCCGAGAGTGAAAAGTCCATGCATCTTAAAGTGGCCAGCTTTGAAAAATCCCAATCTATTCCAAGCCCGGGGAAGTGAAATCCACAAGTCTTTAAAAGTTGCCACATTTGAGAAACGCCCCCCCCAAAAAGGTGATCCATGATCCTTCTCAAATCATGATTTCATAGCTTGATCTCATGGGCAAATCTGAACAACTGAGATTTACTTTAAAAAAAAGAGAGAGAGTTGATGGTTGCAGAAGGCAATGGAGTTGGCTGAAATGGCAAAATCGACTAATTTTGATTAATGAAAAGAATAGAAGTGCTTTTGTTTCCGCATGGAGACCTGCACTTTGTGCTTGAAGAGGAGAAGAATGAAACGTTGATTTTGGGTTTTACCAATTAGACCAGTAGTGGCTAACAGTTTTGGGCTCCTGTGCCAAAAATTGTGCATGCGCTTCTGTGCATGTGCTCGCATGCCAGCACCCAGAAGGCAATGCATGCGCCTCCCCGTGCCCCCTGCGCATGCAAGCGCAATCCCTCCCTGCTGCCGCCCCCTTACCTGCACTGCGGTGGCATTCAGCAGGTTCTGACCAGTTCTGGAGAACCGGTAGCAGAAATTTTGAGTAGTTTGGAGAACCTGCCAATACCACCTCTGATTGGCCCCGCCCCCATCTCTTCTCCGCCTCCCATCGAGTCCCAGCTGATTGGCTGGGTCTCCTTTGGTTGCCCTGCCCAGGAGAACGGAGCTGGAAAGCAGGTTGGTGGGGCGGGGAGGGGATGGGGATTTTGCAGTTATCTTTCCCCCAGAATTGGGGAGGAAATGGAAGATTTTACAATATCCTTTCCCTGCCACGTCCACCAAGCCATGGCCGCAGAACTGGTAGTAAAAAAAATGGGAATCCCACCACTGAAATACTTTTCAAATCTCCTTTGCAGAGCACGGCGTCCGATTGCAAAATCACACCAGCCACGGGGGAGAAGACCTACTATAAAAGCCCCACCAAAACCAGGCAGCCACGGAAAGTGGACCTCCGGGCGCGATACTGGGCGTTCCTTTTCGACAACCTCAGGCGGGCGGTGGATGAAATCTACGTCACTTGTGAATCGGACCAGAGTGTGGTGGAATGTAAAGTAAGGCTCTCCTGACTGGGCCACGTGTGGGAGGGGGGTGGATTTTGACCCTTTGGGGTGTCCTTAAGGACGCGTTTGGCTTTCAAAAAATGTCTGTTGAAAGCTTTTCGAGGTTTTTTTACCCTGATGCAATGAGGGCGTCACTTCCTCCCCCGCCTTCCTTCTGAGGCTGGAATTGGGTTCAAAGTAAGACACTTAAAGTTAAAAAAAAATTGGTAATTTAGCTGCTTTGTACTTCATCAAACAGATTGATAACGGTCCTTGTTTAGCTACAAATCTCCTCTTCGTTCTAAAATATGCACGCCTGGTTTTTCTGTGCCTTTGGGAGATGGAAACGTGGGTCCCCTGGGTTTACCAGCCCACGGCTTTCCCCCTCCAATATCCCATTTTTTCCTGTAGGGGGCACTGTTGAGATTCTGCTGGGGACCCCCCCCCCCCATCCTCTCGGGGCTTCCTGCTCACTCTCTTTAATCCCACCCCCCCGCCCGCCCCCCGGCCGCATTGTTCCTTGTCTGCAAGAGATAGTTATCGGTCTTCCCGGTGGTGAGCGAGGGAGTTTGATTGATGGCCTGGTATAAACAACGTCTGGGTGGGTCTCGGCGTAAGTTCGTTCTCTTCATCTGACTTCTGATGGGAAACAGACATCGCTCCCCCCGGTAGCCCTGCCGCCTCCCAGCTCAACTGGAAGCTGTTCTGGCTTCTGGGTAACAAGAGATTGATTCTTTCAGGTGGCGCGAAGAGGAAGGGAAACACTGCCGATCCATTAAAGAAGGCTGGGGAACGTCGGGAGGGCAGGTGGTCCTTGACTTACGGCCAGATTGGAGCCCAGTGTTTCTGTTGCTAAGTGGGAAACTTGTTAAGTGAGTTTTCCCCCCCCACTTTTACAAACTTTCTTGGCACGTTTGTTGAGTGAATCACTGCCGTTCTTAAGTGAAGAACAAGTTTGCTGAGTGAATCACTGCAGTTGTTAAGCGAAGAACAAGTTTGTTAAGTGAATCACTGCAATTGTTAAGTGAAGAACAAGTTTGTTGAGTGAATCACTGCTGTTGTTAAGTGAAGAACAAGTTTGTTGAGTGGATCACTGCCATTGTTAAGTGAAGAACAAGTTTGTTGAGTGAATCACTGCCATTGTTAAGTGAAGAACAAGTTTGTTGAGTGAATCACTGCCGTTTGTAAGTGAAGAACAAGTTTGTTGAGTGAATCACTGCAGTTGTTAAGTGAAGAACAAGTTTGTTGAGTGAA